TAGAGAGGGAGAGGGGGTCAATTCTTTTGTACGCCCACCAAACCCACACCCTCCCCCCTTCTCTCTCAAAACCCAAATTAGAACCCAAAAATCCAAATCAATCGCCCAGCATTACTTCCTTCGGCTGCTCCAATCCCAATACCACACTTCTCCAATCTTTTCTCTTCTCAAATTTTAAGGATTTTTTGAAGCGCAGCCGCCTCGCAACGAGCATCGCCTCCAGCCGAGCAAACGCCTCGCCGCGAGCATAGCCTGTAGCCGAACAGCCTCGCAACGAGCATCGCCTCTAGCCGAGCAATCTCGTAACGTGTGATACCTATGGCCGAGTATTGCTTTATGTTGAGCATTGCCTTGGGTTGAGTACTGGTTCAAGACATTTAGTCACTTCGACCCATACATGAATTTGATTTGAAGTCTCTAGCCAAAAGACTCTCTTGACTGAAGACTTGGGGGACTACTGTTGGTACCACACATATTGGGCCTCAGACTTTGACACATTGGGCCTCATTACCCAGCCCATAATTATGTAAAAGGAGGACCCCTTATTCTATAAAAGGGGACTCCTCCCCTCACAAATTAGACTCTGTGAACCCAACAGAGGACAATACCCTCACAAACACAACAACACTTTGTAATCCATACATACAGTTACAGAGGAATACAATCAACATCAGTGTGGACGTAGCCCAAACATTGGGGTGAACCACGATACATCTGTGTGTTCTTGGGCGTTTGCATGATTCACGGTCGGATTTACGTTGTTCCAAGACCTTCCGGTTTTGTGCATCAACAACCAATGTAATACGAACAACGCAAAATTCATCTGGATTATAAACAACGATTACCGTCTACCAAATTCACACGGCATGGATCCTAGAATATGAACATCTGCTCATTAACACTATCCTACTCTACAAACAGCCTATACTCGGGTGCCTTCTCCCATTTTCGTGTCCGTGTAGCATGGAGTTCGTGTCTCCGCTATTGCCTCGCGATAATTCAGCGCCATTGTGAGGTTGGACGTATATACTCGTCAGCTCTGCTGGCTGCACACTAAGACTATTGGCATTGTTAGACGAGGATTCATCGCGATTTTGAGATTCTGCCAGCATCTGAAAGTATGCATGAGGTCCCCAACCTGCCCATCCAACCAAATAAACAGAAAGAATCTCGTGAACAATGAGTCCGCCAGGCTACTAATATGCACACGAGTTCAAATAACGAACTCTAGAAATCACAGTTTTTCATTGCAAGATAAAATGTTCATGGGACTTGACAGAACTAGAAAGCCTTTGCAAGGAAGACAGAGTTATATATACAGAAGATAAGGAAGATAAAATTACCATCTGCGTCGTATGGAGGTGGAAAGAATTGCAGGTAACAAAATGAAGCAATGGTGATTCCTGCACAAAGAACATACAAGTAAAATGGAAAACCCGACAAACTCATTGTTTTCCCACAAAATCATGCCGGTGATGCCAGAGGCAGACAAGGTACCTATAAGGCTGCCAGCACAAACATCTTGCCAATGATGCCAATAGTCATCAACTCGAGAAACTCCCACCAGTGCTGCAATAAGTAGTGGTAGAAAGACAATACAAAGCTTATCAACATGTCCTCTACGATCAAACGCCCGTACTTTCCCCGATAAGTACCATGCAAGGAAACCAAGACCTGCAAAGGACCCTGCATGTTGACAACGGCACTGTCTTTTGAGCTACACAGTACAATGTCAAACATACATATGCACTAAAGAAAATAGTTGGGTAACACGAAGACAGAATATGCAGATAACCTATAGGAAACAGATAGGCAGCATGCAGCCCTAAACTTTAATCGTCTTTCATGTATACAGTTTCTCGAAGTATCAAAATGCTTACATGAAGTATGCCCGCTTGGGAAGCTTTTATGTCCTTCCTTAATGACACTCTTGCTTCCAGTACACATGACATCCTTTGTGGTAGGATCAAATACCTGGACGTGGACAGTGGATCAATCGTGTATCATATGCATGTGTAAGTGAGGAGGATCAAAACTAAACAACGAAAAGAAGGCCCACCCCTTTTCCATCGGGGAAACAACGCCAAAAGAAGTCCGGACGAGGTCGACCAACACCATCTTTGATTGCATCAGTTAAAATGGCGGTTATGAAGACAGAGAATAGAAGGCCTAAATGAGCATAGATAGACAATGCAAGCGTTAACAAAATACAACAACACGCAAACAACATTACGCAATGCAAAATCACAAAAACGAAAAAGAAAGAGATGATAGTTACCCAAAATGGCCTGGTGCAGATCATAGACATCCTTTCGGATGAAGTAGTACACAAGAATGACAGCAAGCGGCAACAGTACCGCAATTATCTGTTACCAGAAGTACAAAATAAGATTCTTCTTCTCCTTACAGTGTCATCACAAAAGCGAGACCAATGCAAAATTCAAACTTATCCAAATTTTCCCAGCATGACATTGTTTTCGCAAAAACAAAACCTACCGGGACACTCCAGAAGGGAACTGTATTGACTTTCAAAGGGTACTTGAGGTCTGTCATCATGTCCTCCCCAACAAAGCGGTGAAACGGCTCTATCAGGTTCAAACCAAGATCAATTCCGGCCAGAACCAACAGAATCAGCCAATCATGCATATGAACCTTTGCCACCTGGACTCCATGGGACCTTACAGTGTGGCAACCCAACTGAATTTCTGGCATTTTTCACTAAATGGAAAATGAAAAACACTGTAATTATCAAGTAATCACATCTTAGGGGTGTATTCAATTGGAATTTTGAAGGATTTTAATTCTTTTAATGTATCTAAGGGTATTCAATTGGGATTTTGAAGGATTTTAATTCTTTTAATGAATCTAAGGGTATTCAATCAGGATTTTAAGTGATTTTCTGAAATTCAAGGTATATTCAATTATAATTTTAAGATAGTTTTTTAAAATCCTCAGAAATCTAGGTGTATTCAATTAGAATTTTAAAGAAGTTTATAACATCCTAGGTATATTCAATTAGAAATTTATTTTAAAAAATTTGAGAAAGTTGAGGAATTAGAGGGAATTGGAGAGATTTCGTAATGTATTTTAAGTATCCACAAATATCACATCTCTCCATGAGATTTCGAAGGAATTGAATCAAAATTTTATATAAAATATCTACAAATTAATTAAACTCCATAAAAATCTATGAATTTATAAATCCAATCTCACTGGCATTTCAAATTAAGAAATGAATTTAAACAATAAAATTAAATTCAACATTTCGGCTTGATTGACATTAGAGTTTTTCCAAATTTTCTTTCTTCGGAAACAAAAGCGACTACGTGAAGTTCTAGTTTCTTTACTTTCCTAAATTTTCTATGCAACAAAACACAAAACATAACTAAAAAAAAAAGCCAGAAAATTTGAAGAAACAAACCATAGTAAGCTGGATACACAGAGTAAAAATTAAAAACGAAATGAACAATTTGAAACAAGAACATTACAATGTGCATAAAAACTTATAAAAACTAACAGAGAGAGCAAGAGAGTGAGAAGTACATGCAAATTCCGTACGACAGGAGCAGTCTCCGAGCGAGTAATAGTAGGGGGCGGGGTTCCGGCTTCGAGCTCAAGGCGGCGAAGGGAGCAGCAGGGTGAGTGGTTTTTGGGGAAGAAGAGCGGAAACCAGAAAACTGAAAAAGGAAAAGCGTGGAGTGAAAGAAAGTACAACGGAGTTTACAAAAAACTTTTTGAATTTTGGATTTTAAATATTAACCAAAAGCAGTGAGAAATCGCGGCTTTTTGCCGAGGGCTGATTGCTGGCCGTGGACGTCGAGGACAGGCAAGCATAATTTGATCAAAACTAATCACGATTAATAGTAAATTACTTAGGTTTATCCGAAATGAAATGATTAACAACATGCTTAGGCGTCATTTTAGCTTCATAACGTACAAATGAATATATCTAGGCTTGAACTTGCGATTTTTTTTTTACCTTTTACACACTCCTTTCAATTTCAACCGTAACATCAAATAAATTGAAGAAAATTAAATGATAGAAATTAACAAAGGTAAAGAAAATAGATGCAATTTGTAAAATATTGGCTAACAAATTTCTATTAATTAAAAAACTTATTAAAGTAAACTTTTTTTAAAATTTTGCTTGAACCTTATAACTCGAGCAATTAAAAACATCAATATTTGACTCAGTGTTCTCTTAAATTAAAAAAAATAAAAATTGCAACTTAAGTAATTAAAAATATTTATTACTGGGCTCGAGATCACGTATTCAAATCCCACATCTCTTGGAGCTTTGTTGCAGGCAAATGGGATTCGATTCAAAATTCCAAAAGGGAATGTCTTTATAAAGAGAAGCTCTTTTGGTGCTTAACATTCCATGCACCAACTACAAAACTGGTGATTCTCTCTCCGTGTTCTTTACTTGTTCTACGGGCAAGCCTTTTCCACTTTTTTATCTTTTCAAAAAATTTCACCGTTAAAGGAAACAGAGTAGGTGGCACCACACCATTTGTGGAGGAGTTTTAACTTTTAAGATAATCAAGATTAACTTAATTATATTAGAAGATAAGCTAGTATAGCAAGATTAGTTATTCCAATAATTTAATCCAACCAGGGCGTGCCAAAGTCAAAGCTCTTAAGGATTAAGCTTTTTAGTCAAAATGATCCATGAGATTTGACAACTCCTTACTTTGATCTCACATATTTGAATATCAATAGAAGTAGTGCCTAAGTTTGTCCATCATCAATCATTTTGGTCATTCCATGAAAAATCTCCATTAAATAAGGCTAAAATGACAAAAATACCTTCAATTTTTGCCAAATCATTTGGCCAATTGTTTATTAAATTGAGGGTATTTTTGTCATTTTGGTCCTTACTTAATATAATTTTTCATGAAATGATCAAAATGATTGATGATGGTCAAACTAAGGGACCACTTCTATTGATTTCAAATCTCAGGGACCAAAGTGATGAGTTATGCATATGTCAATGACCATTTTGGCTAAAAAGTCTGAGGATTATTTGGTGAAGTATGATGATAGAGTCTACAGAAAACCAAAAATACACACATTCATCTTGAGGCATACCTAAAATCTACCTCAAATAGTCAGGTACTCGGTATCGTAGAGTCTACGGATTACTTCCCAGATACCGTATTATTCTCTATGTTCCGTATTTTTACTTACGTGACGGTATCTAAATCTTTACTTTAGCCTTTAGTCACACCTTGATCTGGAAAAAATGAAAAGTTAGATCAAAGGAAGAAATGTTAGGCCAACTGCAGATTTAGACTTCTTCATAAATTCATCATTAGCAAACTAAACTCTGTATATGGTACTAAAAACTAATAACCTGTCTACGCAAGGTGTCTTAAACCGGTATCTACATAAGCATAAGCAGTACGTGGAGTACCTAAACAAAGCCCGCCATGTACAACACTACTTTTCGCCCGATTCCATTTCATGCAAACTAATGCTTGTGTATCGGTTGTGAGACATTGCTGCAAGTGCATCGCCAATTTGTATGTGTTGTTCGTTCACATTCTGAGCCCCGATCACCTGCACACTCAGTGCATTGTTCATAGGATTGACACCCGGATTTGAATGGCTACGTGTTTCCTCCAATGCAGAGAAATACGCATAAGGACCCCATCCTGAATTCATCAAGAAATAGTTAGCGAACTGAAACGCAAAAACAACAAACATACAGAACAAACGTAATCTAGCCACAGGTATTTTGTGGAAGTATACAGGAAAAATAAGGAACAGATGAAGAAGATGCGACCTTGATCGGTATAAGGGGAAGGGAAGAATTGCCGGTAACAAAATGAAGCCACAACAAGTCCTGCAAAATATGAACCGCGTATAAAGCTCTCACATTCTTACATTAGAGCGTTAACTAAAGAAAAGAGATGGGGAATGGGAATGAACATGACCTAAGAGGCCTCCAGCAAACACATCTTGCCAATGGTGCCAATAGTCATCTACTCTTGAAATGCCAACGAGAGATGCAGCAAGTAGAGGAAGCAAGACAATACATAGTTTCGCCACGTGCCCTTGGCGATCAAATGCTTTAATCTTCCCGCACAAGTACAACGAGAGAAATCCCAAACCTGCAAAGGACCCTGTAGAACAATGGCAAGCTGTATCAGTTGTATGGACATACATGCTGAAATTCGAGAAAGTAAACGGGTCTGGTAGACTTAAACTGCGTATAACAGCAGGAAGCATTTCTTACATGAAGCGTGACCGCTTGGAAAACTCTTATGTCCTTCCTTTATGTCACCGCTCTTACCATGGCACATTACACCCCCAAAAGTATCATAAACCTACACAAAGCAAAAAGATATATAAGTATCAGATTTTACACGATACAGAGCAAATTTCCATATCACATTACAACAAACTTTCCATCAGGATATTAATGGAAGCATACATCTTTTCCATCAGGAAAGCAACGCCAAAAGAAGTCTGGTCGAGGCCGGCCAACCGCATTTTTAATCGCATCCGTGATAACACCAGTAATCAGCACGGCGAACAAGAGGCCTGCTCTTGCAGATAGATATATAACCAAATTAATCCACAGAACAAAATAAACAAATAAAAGGTTCCGAGTTTGATAAAACTAATCAAACAGCAAAAGAAATATATTACCTAGAATGCTGTGGTGCAGATCATAGACATCTTTCCGACGCATATAGAAAAAGAGGAAAATCGCAATAGGCAACAAAACCGAGTACATCTAAAGACATCGACAGAAGAATCAATCCCGTTAACCTTAGTACTGCTATCAAATCCATACAATCCAACCAAATGAACATTGATAAAAAATGGAATTGGACTAAAAGAAGAAGCGAAAAACGTACAGGGACAGCCCACAGAGGCACCGTGCTCTCTTTCATGGGATATCTAAGGTCTTCCATCATATCCTTCCCCACGAAACGGTGGAACGGATGAATGATGAACAAAATGAGATCTATCACTCCAAGGAGCACCAGTATAAGCCAATCGTGCATGTGCTTCTTTGCAAGTGCAGCTCCATGGGATTTAATCGTGTACCTTCCCAGTTCCGTCTCCGAAGTTCTTCCCTGCTCGAACAAATACACTAAATCACTTCCCAACAGAAATACATTGGCCAAGATAATATTTGATTTCATTTGAAATTTTATTAAAAGATGTCTCCAAATCTATATCAACGAACGGACAAAAAGAACCCAAAAGTTTACCGCTTTATGTGTCACAGTTTGAAGCTACTACAAATTAATCTTCCAAAACACAAAAAACTTGATACCAATTTAACCTGAGACATTGAACTTCAATCATTCTTAAACAATAAATCATACTTTAATAAAGTAAAAATCTGCTAAAAGAGGCATGTGACTGATAACAGCGTAAATTCGAAAGAGAAATGTTAAGGGTTCTCTCTCAAAAGTGGAACTCTCAGACTCTCTGTCGCCTCACATTTTAATGTCAATTACCGTCCCAACATTATAAAAAGTTGTGCCAAAAACATGATATGACAGAGAGTCTATAGAGATTCCAACTTTTTGACAGAGTCCTCTTAGCATTTCTCAATTCGAAATGGAAGTTACAGTCACTATTCCAATTTCCAATACGATAAACAGTACATTCAAAAGCTAGATTAATTTACCAACCTGAAAGATACCCCGGAAATTAAAAAGCGATCCCAGATTCCTCCACGCCATAACCTACAGAACCCAGAAATCCACAGGTAAAGTTGTCAAAGTGAACAAACACAACAGAAAGAGGAGGATATAAAAACTCACAAACAGCAAAGAAACAAAGAAAAAGCAGACGAGTGGTGAATTGAATTCAAAGCAAGGACGCTTCAGCAACTTGGTCTGCCTCCAATACCTTAATAAAAGAAGACTTCAAATATTTTTCCAGGAAAACGCGAGCACTTCCCAGGAAAATTTGAGTACGGAAAATTTCTTCTTCTGGCGGCGGACGGTTAAGATTTCTCGGAACACCAACGTTAACAATAATGTAGGATATAGTAGAAGAAGGGTTGCTGTGAACTCTGGAAAAAGAAAATTGTGTGAATATTAAGGAGGCTGATGAGATAACGACCGTTTTAAATTTTTTGGCAGTTTTCTGTTTGGAGGGGTCAAGACTTTGAAGCGATCTCGCAGAAGCCGTCCGATTTGTTGACCTTTACCGTCGTACAAGGATCATCCGTTTGCTGACGTATGCGGCCGTGCGGCACGTTGGAATATTATTGTTTTGAATTCTACGAGCCTACGGCGTCGTTTTATCGTGGATGACAGCTCTGCTTGTAACATGGGGCTTTGATGAAGGATGGATAACCGGCGCAGTGGGTGGTTGGTACGGACGGTTACCTTCAGTTGGCGGGGCTTTTGTTCCATTCACCTCACAACTATACATAAGGGACTTGTCGTTTTATGATTGTTTTTGTTTTTGTTGAGCTTGTGGTTCGCACTTTATGTTGAGTAATGAGTTTCTTAACTTCAACATTTGCCGACACCTTTGAATTTAGTGTTGTGTTGGCAAGTTGGAAACGTTACGGAAGCGATGTTTGAACTCATACATTGTTAGATCGAAATATTAATATAGAATTTTTCTTATAAATCTTGAATGGTTTATAAGTAATGGGTGTTTTAGTATTGTTTTGGCTACTTTAAAAATGTTACGGTAGCTATGTTTTAAACAGTATATTATTAGCTATGTTTTAAATCCTGAATGGTAAACAACCAAATAGCCCATAAATCGTGGATGGAATGTGATTCATGAGTTGGGGTTGGATTAGCAAAAATGAGGAAATTGGCCACTTTGCAACCATGATTAAGAAACATTAACCAATCATTAAGGTAAAGAAACTGAAAGATGATTAGCACTACTCACCACCATTGACAACGACCCCCACCAGCTCCTTGTGGAATATTATCCTTTAATATGAATCTAACTTTGAATTAATTACGAATTAGTTGGGCTATTCTTACCAATTTTATACCACATTTGGACAAGCCACGTTATTTAATTTCAATTTCAATTTTTCTTGTTAATTCAAACACTTAAATAAGGTAAATTGCAAACTTCAAGTCTCTCTCTTGGGTTAATAACTTAATTGGGTATGAACCCCAATCCGATAGACATTTGATTTTAACTCCTAATTCTCATGAAAGCTAATAGGCATTATTTAATGAAATAATTAGATGAAATCCTTCTTTTAAACCAATGTTTGGGCCCAAAAATATTGTTTTGGGCCGAGTTTAGATCTTTCTCGGCCCAGTGTTGGATAAGCTAGAGTTTAGAATCCTTCTTGGCCCAGAAGTCGTGTGCAAGTGTCATTGGGAGATTGTTTGGACCCAAATTTACATCATCGGCCCGTGTAATCGAGACCGTAGAGTAAACATAGTTCTCAGCCGTCGGATGGAAAAGTGAAAATATTTTTGTTAAAAGATAATATTATGGTTTTTATCATGATTATCTTTTAATTTGAATTATCTTGACATATTCTTAAACGGGATGGATATGATGCAAATTATATCCTCAAGTAAGAGTGTTTGGGCTCAAATTAACATGTTGGGCCGAGTGTAGAACCATTCTCGGCCCGGAAGGCCTTGCGACAAGAAGACCATGGATCGTTCAGCTTATGGGCTTCCAAACCTAGGCCGGTTAGGTCAAAATGCAATGACTAGTCGAGTCCTAACGCGATAAGTAGTCTCGGCAAGGGTAATAACCCGGAAGTGAATCCGGCTCAATAGAGGACTAGGCTCACAATCCTAGTAAACATAGGACTGGTCGAGTGGGTGTTTGATCCGGAGAAGAAGACCTAGTTCGAGTAGGGTTTTGACTCGACTTCAAAGGTATCTAGTGCTATAAATAGAGGAGGCTGTGCATCATTCAGGAGGACCTCCAACACACACAAAACTGCCCTGCGCAAACTTTCTCAACACCTTGAGATTTTTTTATTTTCTTTTTTCGCCGACACATCTTCCGTTGGCATCAACAGCACTGTGAAGGCAACCGGTGATATCTTAAGTCGGCATAGATAGCTCTGTCACCGTAGAATCAGCCGATCTCGCAGCATCTTCCGTTGGCATCAACAGCACTACGGCGAGGACGACTGGTTACCTATCCAAGTCTCGGTCGAGAAGGATTTCCGAATCCTCATTGGTCGAGGTCATCTCATCAGCCTTCTCGGCGAAGTGGGGTGTTACCAGGTTACTGTATTCGGCACATTGACAGCCGAATTTGAGATTGAACTTCGCAAATTAGCAGCTTTGTCTTCAGGCTCTAGAACCCAAGAGGCCGAGAATTGTTCCTTCCTCGGCCGCAATCTCACCACAAAAATCAATACAAAATTGCCCTGCGCAAACTCTCACAACTTGAGATCTTTTTCTTTTCCTTTTTCGCTGACACATCTTCCGTTGGCATCAACAGCACTGTGGAAGCAACCGGTGATATCTTAAGTCGGCATAGATAGCTCTGTCACCGTAGAGTCGGTCGGTCTCGCAGTATCTTCCGTTGGCATCAACAGCACTGCGGCGAGAACGGTCGATTGCCTATCCAAGTCTCGGTCGAGAAGGGTTTTCGAATCCTTGTTGGTCGAGGTCATCTCATTAGCCTTCTCGGCGAGGTGAGGTGTTACAGTTATTACATTCGGCACATTGTAAGCCGAATTCGGTTCGTGAACTTTGTAAGAAATAGCAGCCTTGTCTTCAGGCTCGAGAACCCAAGAGGCCGAGACGCGTTCCTTTCTCGGCCGCAATCGCAAGACGCAGAAGTCAGTAGCGCGACCCAACGCAGCATCATCAAATTTACTCCTCGGCCGAGCCTCGGCCGACGAGTTGGCACGCCCCGCAATCACCGAAGGACGTAGTTAGCTTAGAATATATTCGGCCTGCGCGCCGCGTAGGCTTGGTAGATTTTAGGGTCAACATTTTGGCACGCCCAGTGGGACCCAGTGCTAAAACTACGAAGTTCATATGATATATCAAGATGTCAATCCGGCTCCATTTAGCCGATTGTACGAGCTCCTAGAGGAATTGAGAAAACACAATGAGGAATGTAAAAGATCTTTGGAAGTGGAAAAAGTTCTTCGTGGCCATGGAGAGATGCAAAAGTCATTCGCTTGCATGTTGAGAATAAAAGCTCATGTTACCCTGCAAAGGCAATGGGTAAATGAAGACAGGGCTCGATTTAATGCCTGGCTAGATGAAGAAAATTTTCCTTACGTTTCTGATTACAGATCAATTCCATTTGAAAAATGGTTAGGCTCAAAGGCCGGGGGGCAATTTTTCGCTCCGGCCGTAATCAGACATCGGCCTAAGAAAATTGTTAATTTGGCCGAAGAACAAAGGCCACTTATTTTTTCGGTCGAGGCTGAAGATATGGTCGGCCACGAAGAAAAACTTAGGCCACCTATTTTTTCGGTCGAGACTGGAAGTGTGGTAGGCCTAGAAGAAAAAGTTAAAGTTTCTGAGCCACAAATCGACTCAGAAAATGATTCGTCAGAGGAGTGCTCCAATGACGAACGAGGCCGAGATATTGGCCTCGCCCAAGAATCTACGCCAATTGATATGATTATTGGCGATAAAGTCGATATGGAGAAATCCTATTCGGCTAAGTTGTTTGAATTAAACGCCGAAATTATGCCTGGGGGGCATAATACTTGTTCCACACATTCGGCGGCCGAAAATGCAAAATATTTCACCAAGTCAGAAATATTGGGAGATGATCTTTTATTCGGTTTTGGAAAATGTCAAAGTGAAAATTTTGATGTAAAAAGATCTTGGCTTGGAATAAAGCATCGTTGGCCTCCTCCTGACTACGTTTCGGCCACTTTTCTTTTCGTTTGCTAAAAATATAATTATATATAATAAATTATTTTCTTAACCATTCGGCCCTTGACCGATACTTAAGAAAATAAGAGGGGCAACAAGTGGTGTGCTCGGCAAAATTTTGGTCATTTTGTTTTTAGCCGAGCTCGACAAACAAGCCGACCCGAGAAGAGTTATTTTCGCTGCTATCAATAGTACCATGCCTATGGTTAAAGTGTGGGGACAAGTTTCAAAACCATTTAATCAGGAAGATGTTAGGGTCAAAGTTTGGCCGAATAAGTCATGGTTGCTGTTTTGAGGTTATATATATATATATATATATATATATATATATATATATATATGTATATAGTCATGATTGCTGACAATGGGTTTGATATGCATATATATGTAGGCAGGCCGAGCTGCCAAGAAAAGACTCTTCTCGACCTCGGCCAAATTTATCCTCGACCCCAATTCCAATTCTTCTCGACCCTGGTTCATAACTGTTTATCTTCGGCCATGAGTTGTTCTTTGGTCGAAAGGAGCCGTGAGTAAACAGCAGCAAGGGATGACGGTCAAAAGTACATCTGATTAGGCTGGAGATACTTAATTTCCTTAATCATTCGGCTTACGAGCCGAAGTTCAAGGAAACTGGGGGGCAATGTTTGGACCCAAATTTACATCATCGGCCCGTGTAATCGAGACCGTAGAGTAAACATAGTTCTCAGCCGTCGGATGGAAAAGTGAAAATATTTTTGTTAAAAGATAATATTATGGTTTTTATCATGATTATCTTTTAATTTGAATTATCTTGACATATTCTTAAACGGGATGGATATGATGCAAATTATATCCTCAAGTAAGAGTGTTTGGGCTCAAATTAACATGTTGGGCCGAGTGTAGAACCATTCTCGGCCCGGAAGGCCTTGCGACAAGAAGACCATGGATCGTTCAGCTTATGGGCTTCCAAACCTAGGCCGGTTAGGTCAAAATGCAATGACTAGTCGAGTCCTAACGCGATAAGTAGTCTCGGCAAGGGTAATAACCCGGAAGTGAATCCGGCTCAATAGAGGACTAGGCTCACAATCCTAGTAAACATAGGACTGGTCGAGTGGGTGTTTGATCCAGAGAAGAAGACCTAGTTCGAGTAGGGTTTTGACTCGACTTCAAAGGTATCTAGTGCTATAAATAGAGGAGGCTGTGCATCATTCAGGAGGACCTCCAACACACACAAAACTGCCCTGCGCAAACTTTCTCAACACCTTGAGATTTTTTTTTTTTTTTTTTCGCCGACACATCTTTCCGTTGGCATCAACAGCACTGTGAAGGCAACCGGTGATATCTTAAGTCGGCATAGATAGCTCTGTCACCGTAGAATCAGCCGATCTCGCAGCATCTTCCGTTGGCATCAACAGCACTACGGCGAGGACGACTGGTTACCTATCCAAGTCTCGGTCGAGAAGGATTTCCGAATCCTCATTGGTCGAGGTCATCTCATCAGCCTTCTCGGCGAAGTGGGGTGTTACCAGGTTACTGTATTCGGC